GCCACTTCCCCTCCCCCTCCAGGAGAAAATCAAAGCCACAGGTGGGAACTGACTCAAGCTCCTGCCACTGACTGCAAACCCACCTGAGTTACTCTCCCTTGCTGTTTCCATTTTTTTCCAATGAAAAGGGACCCCCCGCAATCCATGCCTAATCCCCTCACCTGTGCCCCAGACTCCCCCTTCCACATCCTCAGTCTGGACTCCATCAATTAACCTCCTCCTCCTCAGGGCCCCCCCAGGGCCTTCTTCCCAGCAGCACTCACCAGGCTTAGTGTCCCCTGAGTTCGTGGGAAGCTCCAGCTCTTGCCCTACCCTCCGCTTCCCTTCATGGTCAAGCCTAGCTGAGGGGCTTGCATCTACCTTCACGAACTCCTGTTCCTTACTTTCCGTTTGCTCCAAGCAGAGGGTGCCCTACAAAGTCACCAAAAGCTCCTTATTACTAAATACAATAGACACCTTTGACTCCTCAAAAGTCTCTAAATTTTTTTTTTTAAATGTTCCTATTAAAAACAACAAACAAACATCCATTCAGTCAACGAGAATTTATTGAGTTCTTACTAGTGCTGGGAACTGAGCATGCAGCAGTAAATAGGTGTTGGCAATCCTGGAGGGGAAGGGAGCCAAGCAATAAACAAGTGAAAAAATCAACAAGATAATTCCAGAGGGTGGTAAGTGCTGTGAAGACAAACAAACTAGAGTGATAGGCTCGAGAGTAACCATGGCAACCACTCTGAGATGATATCTGAGCTGAAGGCACCAGTGCAAAGACCTTAGGCCAGAGCATCGCAGGCAGAATGAACAACAGAGCCCCAAGGTGGGCACAAGCACTGAGTAGACATGACAATATTTTGTTTACAAGTACAAAAGGAGACATCAGAAAGAAGGCAAGAAAGTGTGGTCTTGCTGGGTGGGGAAAGGGCTTCTGAGTTCCAAGCAGAGCGAATCAAGCCGGGAAGAACCATGAGCCTTTAACCCTTATGGTCTGGGGCCTGCTCCACATCCCCTCCAGCCCTAAGTAGGAAATTGTTGGAGGAGGTGGGGCGGGTGAAGGGAAGCATCTACTGCTTGCATCTTTTACCCTTCAATCCCGACAAACAAGTCAGCCAGAAAACAAATCAGCCAAGCTTGAGCTTCAAATAAACTGGGATGAACGAACCCTGCTGGAACCTAAAGAAAGATCGATCCACTCCCACCCTCTCCTTCCATCCCCCAACTCTGAGCTGAGTAAGGAAAGTGGCCCAAGAGGGGCTCCTAAAAGGCTACTGCGTGGCATGCAATGGAACCCTAAGTCAAGGACAGGCCCAGAAGGGAGTGTATTAATTAGACTTCAGTTTTTTCTGGTGATCAGCTTAAGTGGTCAGGGTCCTCAGGGGGCATGGATCCAATGTGGGCTTGGAGGGACTCTCCAGTATTTGTGTGTGGGAGGAAAAATAAGAGCCCAAAGATGTTATCCCAAAGTCAAGTTCCCTAACCTAACACACACACACCAATCCGCAAGATGACTTGGGGGTCCTCCATTTAACCTGTGAGCAAACTCCCTCCCTGCTGCATGGGTATGTGTGCAGGTGGAACCAGGGTAGAGTGTGTGGGGGGGGGTATTAGTTCCTATGGCAGTGATACTGAGCCCAAAGTCCTTCCCAAGAACCTAGGGCTACAGGTAGTGGGAGTAAAACAGAGCAGAGATGGGAAGTCAGTCCCCAGTCCCACTCCATTATGATTGGAATCAGGCCCCACACCCTCAAGTGGCATCCTACAGAGAGAGGGGTCTTGGACTGCTCAACCTCCCCCAGCTCACCCCTCCCACCCACTTAGCTCTCCTCTCCCAAGGCCACGTTCCTCCTCTTCTTCCTGATCCCAATATGGTATCAGAGGAAAATGTGGAGTCCGGCCAGGGAGAGCTTGGAGGGGCCAGGCCTCAGTCCTCCCAGGCACTGGGCACTGTGGCCTGGCAGCAGCAACTCTCTGAGCACATCTCTGGTCCTGCGAAAGCACCCAGGGCCATCTGCCCGCTGAGCGAGTGAGGAGGTGGGGACGCAATGCCTCCCGCTTCGTGGACGGCCCATTTTAGCAGCCCTGTTTCCAGGATTGAGGCCTGTAACCTGCCCAAAGCTACACAATTTGCAGAGCAATGAATTCCGGGGTTGAGACCATCCAAATGGGTTGGACAAGCTCAAAAGCAGTGCTTTAGAGGATTTGCTCTCACTCAGGCTGGGATCAGATGACATTTACCAACCCCTGTGTGAGGCTGGAGACAGGGGCCTGGGGAGTTGAGGCAGAGGGGGCTGCTTGTTCATGCCTTTTCTCCTAGCTTCTGACACAGTACCTTGGCCACATCTGACATGTGGATTTAGACAACTCTGACCCTCCCTGGGGATATCTTTGCACCTTTGGATTATTTGAGAGCCTATTATCTTACTCAGAAAAGAACATGGATCTTCCCCAGAGCCAACTGTGCCTCTGACTGTGGGCTAGCACAGGGAACTCGTTACAAAGAAGAGGTCAAGGATCTAAACAGGATGCCATGTACGGAAAGGAACAGAGGTTGGAGGACACTGGCACTTGAGCCATCCTGATCCAAAGACCCTGGGGCCCTGCGCACATCCTGGGGGAGAAAGGGCTGCAGATGAGGCCAAAAGAGCGCCATGTCCTGAGCTCTGGAGCCCGCAGGGCGCTGCTGGGACCCACCAACTGGAGCATAACACAGAGATGCCCCTCTCACCTCCAGGCAGGCTGCCCGGTGGCCCCCCTGCCATGGAGACGTCGGGCATCAGCAGGTGTCCGCCTCTGCATCACACTCGAAACCAGAGAGCTGGCCCAAGGGCACGTGGGTCAGGAAGCAGCGAGTCCAGGAGCTGAGGCCATGCGTCCACCTGAAGCTCCTCTTTGGCTACTTCTTCCTGGGGGCAGGCTTGCTTCTCCTTCTCAGTCTGGTTCACAAAGGGAGACACAAACCCAGGACACTGGTAAGTGCTCTCAGTGACTGACTGAGTTTGTAGACCACCCTGGAGGATGCTCGTCTTCTGGAAAGTCCTTAGATTCCCTCTCCGTAATGTCTCAATTCTGGTAGTATCTGGCCAAAATAATATAATATTTTTTTCCTGGCCTGAACCTAGAAAAGATATTCTTTCAAAGTCCTTCTATTTTTATGTGCAATAATTATTGCTTTTCTATTTAATCACAGCAGATAATTTTTAAACACAGAAAAACAAAAGAAATCAAAGTACCACCCCACTCTTAAGAAAACAACTAGTCACACTGCCCATAAACATAAAGATGTGAGTGTACACACATATTCATATAGAGCATATGCACTCACATTATAAAATCGTGACTATGCTGACATGTTCCCATATTAATGGGGAGCAGACTATATTCAGGAAGGAAATAAACACCCAGGAAAGATATTATGAACATGTGGCCCCAGACAAGCATTGCGTGCAAGCTTTTCTCCATATTATATCAACTGCAACTTATTTAGACACAATCTCATTCCAATTCCTACCAGGATATATTGTAGAAATCAATAAACTGACACTAAAATGTGTGTGGAAAATAGAGAAACTTGAATAGCCAAAAACAATTTCAAAAATGAAGGACAATGTCAGGTAATTCCCACTAACTGATTTTAATACTTACTTTAAGGCTACAGTAATTAAGTGTTGTGTTGTTGAAAGGAAAAATGTATAAATTAACAAAACAAAATAGAAAGTCCAGAAATAAACTCACATGTTATGTTTAACAGATCTTTGACAAAATTGCAAAACTAATTCAATGGAGAATCTTTTCAACAAATGGTGCTGATACAATTGAAAATGAGTATAAAAAAATGAACCTCAGCTCATGCCTCACACCATTTAGAAAAAATTAACTCAAAATGGATAATAATGTAAATGTAAAACCTAAATTTTAAAATTTCTAGGAGAAAACACAGAGAAAATCTTTGCGACCTTGGATTAGGCAAAGAATTCTTACATGCACTACAAAAAGCATAACCCATAAAAAACTATAAATTGGACTTTGTCAAAATTTGAAACTGGTTCAACGTAAGGCACTAAGGAAAATGAGGAAGCAAGTCACAGGCTGGGAGACAGTCTCTGCAAAACAGGTATTTGTAGCCAGATACATTTTATAAACTCTCAAAATACAATAAAAAGAAAATAACCCACTTTTTTAAATGGGCAAAAAATTGAGCACACACTTCACCAATAAATGTCTTTGGTGGAGATATACAAGCTCATTAAAAGATTCTCAACAGCCCTGCCGGTGTGGCTCAGGGGTTGAGCATCGACCTAGGATCCAGCAGATCACGGTTCGATTCCCAGTCAGGGCACATGTCTGGGTTGTGGCCTCGATCCCCAGCAGGGGGCATGCAGGAGGCAGCCGATCAATGACTCATCATTGATGTTTCTCTCTCTCTCTCCGTCTCCTTTCCTCTCTCTGAAATCAATAAAGATATATTAAAAACAAATTTTCAACATCATTAGTCATTAGAAAAATGCAAAAGTAAAACTACATGAGATATTATTACACACCTATTAGAATGGATAAAATTGTAAAAGCTGACAATACCAAGTGTTGACAAGAATGCATAGCATCACACATTGCTGGTCAGAGTACAAAATGATACAACCACTTGGGAAACAATTTAGCATTTTCTTATGTTTAAATATACAACTGCCTTATGTCCTAGTCATACCAGTCCTTGTTATTTACTTAAGAGAAAAGAACACTTATGCTCATATAAATGTTTATTCATAATCACCCCAAACTGGAAAAACCCTAAATCTCCTTCAGCTGGTGAATGGAAAATTGTGATAGGTACATCCATGCAAAGGAATACTACTCAGCAATAAAACTGAAAAAACTACTTATTCGTGCAATCTCGAATGCATTATGCTAAGTGAAAGAAACCAGACTCAAAAGGATCCATACTACATGGTTCTATTCATACAACATTCTGGATAAGACAAAACTATAGGGACAGGAAAAGATCAGTGGTTTTCAGGAGCTTGGGGGCTGACTGCAAAGGAGAAGTATGAGAGAAATTTGAGGGCGATGAAAATATTCTGTCATGATTGTGGGGGTGGTTGTGTGCATAGAGCTATTTGCTGAAAAGGCTGAATTTTACTTCATGCAAATTGTATCTTAATATATCTGACATATGTGGGATATGTTTGTGTGCATGTGTGTGTGAGGAGGGGTGGTGTGTATTACACACACATGTACATGCAAGACCTTGGAGGAGACAGGAGTGGAGGAAGGAAGATCACAGGCGTGGTGACCTGCTCAGAAAAACATGCTTTGTCCTCTGAGGTGGAGGGGAAGGATTTAAAGACAGGTGTATATCCTGATAAACATGGGAGGGCTGGTGGGGCAGGCTAGTCTGGAGAGGGGCTGAGGCTCATCCCTTTGTGGTGGCTCCGGCCCTTAAGGCTGTAAGGCTTTTTCCTAACCATGCTCAGCATCCATGGCCTCAGCAGTTGGGAAACTGCAGTAGTGCAGGTGAGTCATCAGCTTGATGAAGGATCAGGGATTTGTGAGATGAGGATAACAGGAAGATGGGAGACAATGGGATTAAGGCTATTAGAGAGAGACTAGATAACCATGTGGTCTAGGTTAAGGACATTCGACCGGGGAGGAGCTGTCAGGCTGGGAAAACACATACAGCTCATAGGACTGGAGGCCTCTCTGACTAACCCAGGCCTCTGCGCAGGTGCTGTGCTCTAGGGATCACCGTGGTGTGCAGAGGCCTGCTCCTGAATGGGAAGGAATTTATGATTTATTGAGAGCGAGATTCAAGGGTTCACCAAAATTCACAAAAGCAGCCCCTTTATAGTAATTGCTCATGGGTCAGGGTGCTTCGGAAGTAGATCCTAGCTTGTCAAGTATGTGTTTATATTGCATTATTCTTGGGCAGTCCAGATAACTCCAAAAACAATATACAAATATGAATCTTCTTCTACAGTTACAAGGGAAAGTGTCTTTACTCTGTTACCAATGCAGCTGGCATGCAGTCATTCAGTTGGTTGTTTCCGAAACCCTCGAAGCCACATGCCGCCATGCCTAGCCCAGGACAGTGGGTGGTCAATAAAACACACCTGGCTTGCTTCAGTTTCAGACTCAAGGCCAGAGACTTCTCTGTCTCCTAAAGACAAAAGGCTGTGGACAACTTGAAACCACCTTAGAACCTTTACCTTCTAACAATCAGTTATCTTTCCTTGACTTTGACTTTATCACATCTGTTGGAGACAAGGGAGTAGAGGAGAGGGATCGGGCAGGTGGGACCACTGAGCTCAGGGTTGTTCCTGGAGGGAACAGCAGCATCACCAAGGGAGGGGGCCCCTCATAAATACCATCTGAGAATCATTTCCCAGAGCCTCGCTCAGTACCATACACATGGCCCTGATCAATAGATTGAACATACATGTAGAAATAAATTGGTCCTCCAGGCTTCTGGTGTGCCAGGTTCAATTTGGTACAAGATACGCTGCAAAAAAATGAATCAAAGGAAGACACACAGCATTGCCCAAGTATGTGTGACTGGCCCCACATCAGTCACTCAGAGCCACAGTGGTTTTCAGGAAACCACAGATCCCCAGCTCTCAAAAGTGGGGCACAGAAGAGCCAAAAGCAGCTCAGCCCAGGAAACCCTTTAATGCTTTCGCTTTTAGAACCATAATGTGTCACTTCCACATTTCCTTACCACACATCACAGAATGCGGATCACTGATTTATGGAAGATGTAAGGTCAGTTTCTCAAAGTGTGGTCTGTGTACCACCGATGTCGCTATACGGGGAGGGGAGACTGCTTGTTGAAAATGCAGATTCCCCAGACCTCACCAGTGACCCAAGGAATCTGTGACATGCCCCCCAGCTGACTCTTCTGCACACTAACTCTGTAAACACCACGTGACATGCACACATGGTGCTGTGCTCTGCAGGTGCTGGGTATCTGAGTCGGTATGAGGTTCTCCAATACAATTAGCACCCACTATTAACTTATAAAACAGGCTCATTTCCAAATATGAAAAGTACTAAAAGTTGGCCTGCCATGTGTGTGGGCAGGGAGTATATGGGACGTCTCTGTGGCTTCTGCTCAATTTTGCTGGGAACCAAAAATAGCTTTAAAAAATAAAAACTATTTTTTTAAAAACTTGACCTGCCTAAGATGAGGGGAACGAAATGTGCCTCTCTGGCTCACCTTTCCTCTCTACATGGGTCCCCCGCCTTTTACTCTCTACTCATCTCAGCCTAACCACCTCTGTGAGGCCTCGGTGAAGCAGAGCCCTGCTCCAGGTCCCAGAGCCCAAATACATACTGACTGTGACACTATGAGAATATTTACACCCTATACTGTGACCAGATATTCTCGTTTGGTCCTAGTGAATGACCAAAAAAAGTACTGGCTTGTTGCCCAGCTGGCGTGACTCAGCAGTTGAGCATCGACCTAGGATCCAGGAGATTGAGGTTCGATTCCCCGTCAGAGCACAGTCCCAGGTTAGGGCTTGATCCCCAGTTGGGGGCGTGCAGGAGGCAGCAGATCAATGACTCTCTCATCGATATTTCTCTCTCTCTCTCCCACTCCCTTCCTCTCTCCAAAATCAATAAAGATCTATTAAAAAGAGAAAAAAAAATACTGGCTTGTTCACTGCCATGCTCCTTCCTATGGCAGGCACAGTGTCTGGCACTCTTTAGGTGTGCAGTCGAGTTTGTTAGATGACCGAATGAGTGAGACTAACACTAGATGAAGTGTGTTGGGAGGGTGGATGGACAAAATGGCTGAGCCTCTGCTTTTACAGACACAGATATTCCCTAAAATGACCACTCCTCTTTTCTCCAAGGCCTAGGAACTGAGATCCTCATTTATTATCTGTTACTACAGTCGATGCTCTGAATTGATAAATCAACCACTTTCGGTCCTACTAGACAAAGGAAACCACGGAAACTGCCATCTCAAGTACTGTGCCAATGGCATGTATGAGGAAAGCAGAAGCCACACTAGGTATTTCAAACAGAGGGGATTTAATGCAGCGGATTGACGACACGAGTTTGGCGAGGCTGAAAGAGGGCCCTTAGATAACCCAGATGTTAGCAAACACAGGAAGCAGCTACTAACCTTAGGGCTGGGGGAATAGGGAAGAGATGGTGTTACCAGAACCTAGAAGCTTTGATGGGGGACCCCCCACGGCTGGTGCCCGGCCCTCTGTGGGGGCTGCTGCGCGGCTGCTGCTTGGACTTCTGAGGGGGGCGCTGCTTGGCTGGTGGTGGTCGGGCCTCTGGGCGGGGTCGTGGCTGACGCTCTGACCTCGGAGGGGACCGTGGCTCGGGCCTCGGAGGGGACCGTGGCTTGGCTGGTGCTCTGACCACCGCGGGGGGTGCAGCTGGCTGGAGCTTGGGCCTCTGAGGGGACGTTGGACGGCGTCTGGTTCTGAGAGGGCCAAAAGAAGCTGGAGGCTGCAGCCATGGCTCTCCTCACTGCTTAAGGGATGCTGGCAGGAGCTGGAGACAGGGAGGCAGGCCCTGCTCCCCCTCCCCCCGTCCAGTCTCGCTCTAGCACCTTCCAGTGGCAGAACCTAGCAGGGAGCCGACTGTGCGGGGACTGGGAGCGAGCAGCTTGCTGAGCCCCAAGCCCAGCACCACACAGGCGAGCAGAAAGTGGGGCGGGGGTGCTCGGAGCGGAGACGCCGGCCAGCACCCAGCCGGGCGCGGCCCTCACCTGGTCCTCTGGCAGGCGCAGCAGATCCAGTCCTCTTCCTTCTTCTGGTAGAAGCAGCCACTCTTGCAGATGCTGTACTTCCGATCCACCGTCTCGCGCTTGGAGTTGAGGAAGGTGAACGGCGGGCAGCAACGTATGACGAAGTGCTCGGAAAACTTCTGGTTCTTGGAGAGCCGGGGACCCTCCTTACTCGCTCTCTGGCTCATCTCGCTGGAAACCGCCCGGGCGGGGCGGCGGGAGACACAAACGGCAAGTCAGGTGAGGCTTTCTGCTTGCGGGACGCACTGCCCCGCGGCCCCGCTCTCACAGAACGAAACCCCGCAACAGCCCGTCCCTGCCCAGCTACGGAAAACAACTAAATTAGGGGTTGGCTGATTTCTGTGTATTTTTTAATGTTTTCCGGAAATAGGGAAAAAACGCCTTTTCCCCTTATGTTCAGTGATCCGTTTAAGATAGAAAAAGACATTACAAAGCCAAACATTACTGAGCACCTAGCGCATGGCGGTTGCCCCATATGCTTCACCTCGTTTTATAACATGTGGCATTATCAACCAGCTAAGGAGGAGACAAGCTAAGAAACAGGGCCAAGTTCATAGTCTCCAAGAGGCAGGCAGAGGATTTGAAGCCGTCTGCATGACCCCGTTGACCAGGGCCAACACTATCTGTGCCCTCCTCCCAGGAGCAGGGGGCCAGGTGCTGGGCCCAGGCTGGACTTTGGGGGACTGGAGATGGGCCCAGTGAAGGGATAAGTCTGCATAGATGTTCATGGGCCTATGTCTGAGGGTGAAAAAGACTGAAAGTCGAGGAAAGAGCTCGCTGAAGAAGGAAAGGGAGAGAATGGCGTTTGGAGACTACCTAGCAAGCAAGCTCACAGGGAGACTAGAATGTAAGCTCAGAGAGGGGTCCCCCACCTGGCCTTAGCAGGTTTTAAAATGTACGTTAACTTATGAAAATAAACAATTTTGGATGAATGGAAGTAATAAAAATTCCTAAGTTCTTATCCCATAGTTAACCGCCTGTAAAATATTTGCACATTTTTGAGCTTTACATATAAATATATACTTAATAAAAAGAAAGATCATACTTTATGAACTGTTTATATTTTTATACCTGGAAAATCATTATTTTTAAAGTTTTATAGATATAGACATGTTATTTCTACTATTCTCTTATAGTTTTAAATCTGTAATAAATTTTTAATTACTGCCCCCTTTATAGTTTATTTACATCTCTCATTTTTCTTGATTAATCTTGCCCAGAAGTCATCTACTTTATAACCTTTCAAAAATAAGCCCTTGGTTCTCTTACTTGTCTTTGCTCATTTCCCCTAGTTGGTTCATTTCTGCCTGCATTTATTATTTCTTTTCTTCAGTTTTCCTTACATTTATGTTCTTGTTCTGTTGTTTCTCTGTTCCTGAGTCAAATGCTTCTCACATACGCATCTATGGCTGTAACTTATCCATTAAGTATAGCTTTAGCTGCATGGCACAGTATTAGCATAAATCATTTTCACTTCATTTTAAATATGGATGAGTTCTTCCCTGACACATCAGTTCTTTTTAAAAATCTGTTGTAAAATTTCCAAGTATATGAAGTTATTTTTGTTATACTGACTTCTAATGCATTCTGGGCAGAGAAAGTGGATGTGTGATCCCTTCTGGCGTAAACTCTCTTCCTAACAAGCAGTGAGAGTCCAGTTCTCTAGCAGGGCTCTTCTTCACCTCTTCCAGTTCCTTCTCAAAGTGGACAAGTGTATACGGAACCTGAAGGTCCTCACAGCGTGGAGGGAAGCGGTGGCTGGTCTGGGTCGTGTCCTCTCCTGCTGGACTCTGCCACAGGGAGCCTCGTGTGGTCTCACCCTGGCATGAATGATGCATGTTACTGCCGACCAGGTGACCCCACCAAAGCCACTGGTCCCTACTCAGCAGCCTCCTATTCCGACCCAGCTGACCTCTCAGCTCCTCCACGTCCTTTCCAGGGAACTTGGGTTCCCACGCGTGCCATGCACTATATGTGGGCAATCAAGGGCCCTTTCTTGGGACCACTGGCCTAGGCAGCTCCTCAACCAAAGCTGTGCGCTCACTCGTGGGCCACACTGGATGCGGGCAGGCTTCCCCAAGGGCTTGCCATCTGTCCCCACTATTCCTGTTGAAGTGTGTCCGTATGACCTGCCACCCCTCACACACACACACAATTGTAAGGAAAAGATGGAAGCAACCGGAAATTGTAATTTTCATAGAGCAGGATGGTTTTGAGAACAAGGTAAAATGTCTAGCTTTTAAAACACTATTATTTCGAAACATGAAGAATTAGCTTCAAGTGCTTAAAATATTTATAAATTTTGGATGAATTTCTGTAAGACCTTGTCTCCATCTCACAATGTAATATTTATTCTCTGAAAATCAAAGCCCTTGAGAGCAATAAAATCTGTTAACCTTTCCTCCTATGAGAGGAGACAGAAATAAAATATAGTTTCAGTAATAATGCGTGAATACAGATGAAAATAGTAAATGGAATTTTACTTGCTGGTAGGGATAGAGGGGCAGGTGGGGTAAGTGATAGGAAAATCCCAAACTTAATTTTGCATATTTCCCAGAATCGAGGGATGGTCTTTCAGGAAATTGCCAGAACAGAAAAAGGGAAGCATTCATAATTCTATTCATTTCCTAAAACCAGACTAGCTGATTAAAGGCAAGACTATGGGCAAGGGAATCCTAGCCTTTTTATAAAAATACAATGTAAGCAGTAAGGCTTTGATTTTATTTCATTACTCATGTTCTTATACTTAATGAATCATGGAAATATTAGGCAGCTACGTGAAGAACGACTGAACATTAGGCAGCCATTTTAAAAGGTGCTTATGAAGAGATTGTACTAACATAAGAAAATATTTCTGTGATATCAAGTGAAGGCAGCAGGAAGCTGGACTGTCTCTTGTACGGCATCATCCCAGGTAGCCAGCCACCCCAGCTCAGCCAGCTGAGAGTCGGAGGGACAGGCCAATAAGAGGGCTCACAGCTTCCCCAGGTCCCCTCAGACCCCTCCAGAGGGAGCCCTCTCAGCAGGGGTCTGGGACAGGAGCCAGGGTGGCCCGGGCGGGAGAGAGACACACACTCAGACCCTGCCTTGAGTGGATGAGAAGCTGATATCCTGGAGACTTCCAGCAATCAATCTCAGGGCTAATTTTCAGACTGGCGAGGACTCTCTGAACTGCTGGTGGGAGCTATTAAGACGGTTTGTGACCACAGTGGACCCCACTGATAGAGGAGTGGACCCCAGGTGACATACGCAAAAGATATACACAGAAAAAGATGGAAGGTAAATACAGCCAAATAAAACAGTAACACTCAGCCATTCATTCAAATACCTACTATGTGCCAGTGGTGAGCGAGACAGAGAAGGTGCCTGAACTCACCGAGCTTAGGGTACAGTGAAGGGGACTCTGACAGATCATGCCAGCTGAAGTGTGATTAGGCTCCTGGGCGCTGGGAGAGAGTGTGACGGTGGCATACATTTAGATTTCTGAGGGGCTGGGGCAGGATTCCTGAAGAAGAAACAAACCCAACTATACAAGAGAACTGGACACACGATAGGGATGTTAGTACAAACCAGTGGGGAGGAGGTGGATTTGTCTACAAATGATGTTGCTACAATTACCTTTCCAGATGATATCATTGCCTACCTCAAAATTAAAAACTACTGTACATCCAAAGAACCATAAGCATGGTCAAAAAAGTTAGCAACACTGGGAGAATACGACACATGGAACATGAAAGAATGACTATCCAGAAGCTTCCGAGAACTCCCACAAACCAGTAAGAAAGAGACAACCCGACAGAAAATTAGGCAAATGGTGTGAACAGGAAGCCTACAGAAGAGGGAGCTGTGGACGACCCATAAGCATGTGAAAACCCATTCAAACTCATCAATCAGAAAGACACAAATGAAAAGTCGGGTAATCATCCCGCAGGAACAGCAGCTTGGCGACAGTTAGACAGCCGGGCGTGAAATGAGCTGAGGATGCGGCGCGGCAAACGGGACGGGTCACGCACGCCGGGGGCTCTAACAGGAGGCCTGGAGCAAGCCCGCGGCGCGCAGTCAGGCTGCGGGCGTGCGGGGCAGGAGCGCGCGCCCGAGGACACGTCCTAGAGGATACGTCCTAGAGGACACGTCCTAGAGGCCCCGCGCACCTGCAGGGGGTTGGCTGGGGCCCGAGGACACGTCCTAGAGGACACGTCCTAGAGGCCCCGCGCACCTGCAGGGGGCGGCTGTGGCGCGGGCTGCAGCGCCCTGGAAACAATCAGAGGTCACGAAGCACACGGGTGTCCTTAGAGGAAGGACAACGGGGTAAACTCACACAGTGGGATCCCGTGCGGCGGTTTAAAAGAATCAACCAGCTCTCTCCACGTGGACCGGAATCCTCTCAAAAACATACTTCTGAATGAAAAACACGGAGGAAATGAACAGAAGAGAAACAGAGGCCGCGTGGGTGCATCCGATAATACCTATCTCGTCCCTGAGAACTCCACTGCGCACTCTCATCGCTTACTGTCCGTCCCCTCCTGCGGGCAGCAGCTCCCCTCTGCCAGGGCGCGGGCCGGCTGCAGGTGCGCACGGGACGTAATGCAATTAATGAATAAGGGTATAAGGATAAGGTCTGTTTTGGTCTGTTTTGTGAACTCACCATATAAAGCTGTTTTGCCCCACCCTGTGTGTCGGCATGTCGCCGTGTGTTGGTGTGTCACCATGTGTTAGTGTGTCAGAGTGTCGCCGTGTGTTGGTGTGTGTCGCCGTGTGTTGGTGTGTGTCGCAGTGTGTTGTGTGTCGCAGTGTGTCAGCATGTTGGTGTGTGTCGCCATGTGTCGCCGTGTGTGTGTGTGGGTGTGTCAGCATGTTGGTGTGTGCCAGCATGTTGGTGTGTGCCAGCATGTTGGTGTGTGCCGGCATGTTGGTGTGCGNTATGTGTCGCCGTGTGTGTGTGGGTGTGCCAGCATGTTGGTGTGTGCCAGCATGTTGGTGTGTGCCAGCATGTTGGTGTGTGCCGGCATGTTGGTGTGCGTCGCCATGTGTCGCCGCGCGTCGGCCGCGTCCTTCCCGCCGTTGCTTTTGCACCGGCAGCGCTTCCTTCCGCAGGGCACAGCAAGCTCCCCGTCCTGCCTACCTGCCGAGGCCCGGTCCGGAGCGCCAGGCGGTGCGCCAGCATTTCACACAGGCGCGAACATCTGGGGGTAAACCTCTAGTGGCCAAAGACTCCTGCAACACTCCACTCAAATCAGACACCCCAAGGAGTCCATCGTTACCACCATTCCTAACCAATACAAAAATAAATAAAACAAAGCCAAAAACTTAGAACTATGAGCCCCTATAAGCTACCAGAACTGAAAGGAAGCCCAATAGGACGTCTGGACCCACCATGCTGCAAAAGCGGGGCTGTATGTCTGGGACCCCAGCTTGAACTCTTTGAGAGAAGGGCTTCTGTCTGAAGCCCTGGGGTTCTGCTGTGCCCTCCACCATGATTGAATTGAGTGTCCTTAAAATCCCCAGGTGCTTCTGTTCCCTGGGGTGTTATGTAGGACTCAGGTGGCTTTTGTTGGATTCCCAGCACAGTTATTTTAAGCATTAAGGTTTTAACATAAAGTGGTCTCTCTGTAGAAAATATTATTTTTTCAAGGTGTGCTTAGTTTATAATTATTTGCTTTTCTTAATGTTTGTGATTTAAAAAATAAGAATTGTTTCTTCTTCTCTATGAAAATGATGGGATTTTGAATGTACACATATGTGAGTACAACAAATCCTCTCTCGTAATTTTTCCCTGGATAAAGGAGAAGGCGACCAGTCTTCCAGGTCTGCATTTGCTTACAGAAACACCCAAGTGTCAGGTGACTACGGTCTTAGCAGGGGGCTTAGGGAGAGAACCTACATTACCTGATGGGCTGGCTTATGGTTCCATGGCAGCTGGGAAGGTGGGACCTGCTACACTGCCTTGGTTCTACAAGGGCATCAGTCTCAGGGAGATGAAGAGACCAGGCCCAAGAAAAGCTAAAATAAGCACTGGATTGTTGACTACCCTTTTCATAAATTTTGTATCCAAGGCCACCATCTGAGTCACCCAATGGCAGTTATATTTGTAGACTTCCCTGTTGGATGATGAAGGGGAGGAGAGCTGTGGAAGCTAGAGGCGTAAATGGTTTCCAGAGTTGTAGTGGGCTGCTTAACAAAGCAAGATGAAAGAAAGGAAGGTCATGAATGAGACCCTAGATGCTTGCACCACTCGAATTAGAGAGGAGGTAGTGTCAAGTATCGGCAAGTTCCACAGTGTGACAATGGATGGATGAGGCAGTGTCTACTACATGGGTTTGACAAAGATGGACAAATGGTGACTTAGGTCATAGTGTCTCTGATGCACAGACATGCTTTTGTTTGTTTTTCCAAATTTCTACTCCCCAAACCTAGAATACTATGGAGCACCTGCAATGGTTTTAAAAACTGTTTAACTCTTATTAAAAGTCGATTGCTCAGTCTTTTGCCGATTCTGCATTCTGCGGAACTTTCTTAGCTAGTAACCACTGTACAATCATCTAGATGCAGGTCCCAAAGAGTATGAGAGGTTCGTTTGTACCTGTACTTTCATCCGTACACATCTGGTGATAAGGTCTCTGTTATGAGCTTGTCTTGGTAGCATTTGCTTCTTTATTCCCCCTAAAAGTGAAGCAGCAGAATGTGTTCTGGTTAATGTTTTGGTTTTATAGGTTGTAGTTAATTCAAGTGTGTTCTACACAGAGCTTCACTCTCACGGTTTATATCAGATGTCCTGACTTTTAAATGCTATTGCTCCAGAGAAAATGCTGCTCTCCTTTCCCTATGCTCATTCATTCCACATGTGGACACTGACTATAGATTAACAGTATTTTTTAATTTCCTGTATTCTTGATGCTCTTAACATCTGGGGTCTTGCTGATCCTGGAGAGACTGCCCCTCCCAAGGCTAATTAATTCCTAGAAATGGCAAATGACTCCCGTGTGCCTTTTAAATGCAAACCAACCAATCCAGAGCCTAAATGCACCAACTACCTTTTTTATCAAGCTCTCACAGATTGAGCCAATGTTCCTCTATCCTAATCATTCCAGGGCCAAGTATCAGGTGACTTAGGACAGCCCTACATCCCAGAGCCTGAACTTGTTTAAACTCACCCATCCCGAACCTGCCTACCCTGCTTATCCTGCCTGGCTCATCAGTCCCTGCACAGCGACACAATCAAGTCTCTTGCCCATGCCTTCCTAGCTCCTCTGGCTCCTGGCGGACTCTAGTGCTTCTCCATCGGACCCTGCATGATCTGGCATGCCCTCTCCTCTTGGGAACTGTGAGCAACAAACTGTATTTGCTTCTTAACATTTTTTAAAGAGAGGGGGAGGAGGGAAGAGGGAGAGAGAGTTCAGAGAAGCATCAATGTGAAAGGGAAACATGGATCAGCTGCCCCCAGCATGCCCCCTACCAAGGATTGAGCCCACAACCTGGGCATGTGCCCTGACCCGGAATCCAACAGGCAAACTTTCAGTGCACAGGTGCACAGGACGGTGCCCAACAAACTGAGCCACACCAGCCATGGCAACAAACTATCTTTTCAATGGCAGTCTCCTGATCTGCTGGCCTCACCATACCTACAAAATCAAAATCCTAGGTACATTTTAAACATATCGGTCCCTTAACCACCCAGAGCACAGCTAACACCAGGTTTTACCTAGTGCATTATAACAGAAGCACCAGAATCCAGAGTGGCCTTCACAGCCCATACGAGAGGTCACTCCTGGAGTCCATGCCGTGCAACCTAATCCTAGGTTAGCGGACTTCAGGTTGTGGAAGCAACTCAACTCCCATTCACAAAACCCTCCTGGCCTGCCAAGCCTTCCATGTCCTGACCCCCAATTCTTTCGAATGAGAGAAGGCCCTTGTTTTCCACCCCAGGATGGCTCATCACAGGAACACATAATCCTTCAAGTAGAAAACACTTTCTCAAACTCCAGGTGACTTCTATGAACCAGGTAAGGTGATCATAACAGCTAATGCTACATTTTCTCAAAAGTTCAGTTCCTCAACATTAAATAGCACCATGTGCAGAACCCCGAAGTTCTAATTTTATATTTAGGAAAGGAATTATTTATCTACCTCATCCAGGGAACAGTCCTGTTAAAGACATGATACATTCACTTAACTACAAAGGTCATATAACAAAGTCATTTAGATTTATGATGACTTCAGAGTTTCCTCTGAGAGAAAAAGAAAAGATGCTTTTTATTTGCATATCTAAAGAATCCATTTTAAGAGTAATAATAAAACTGCCAGCCACCTCCAAACAGAAGTTTTCCCATTTACAAGCAAACAAAATGAAAGTTCCTTCTACCAGGCACGCTGTCAACTTGCTACAGGTGACCAGCAAGCCTGCAGTCGCTGCTCAGGACAGCTCCTTATGGAACCATGTCTGTTTTCAGGAGATGGTTTTGCTTAGAAAGAAATAACCACATTTATGACACAAATACTCATATCCATAGAGTGGAAGACATGAATCCAACACACACAGAGTCTAGATTAAATACCTCACCATACACCTATCAAGTTCATGTATATGCCATTGTAATTACCGTTTATAAATAAAGGACAGTATTTACACACTTTTGGTGACTATTTGGGAATTATCAGCAAAGAGCCCTGGGCTTTTAACTTTTGTATTTTCTTCTAAGATGTTAGGTACTCATTTAAAATCCTGGTTACCATTAGATAAACAACACCCTGAATTAAAAGTTTGGACAATCAGATTCAAGTGTGAGTTTGGATATGTATGATCAAAAATGCAAGCACAGTCCTTTCAAAACTGCATAATCTGGACCAAATCATGAGAAAACATCAGACCAAACCCCAACTGAGGGGCATTTAACAAAATAACTCCTCAAAAACATGTCAAGGCATGAAAGAGACTGTCCTGGGTGCTGTTCAAAGTAGCAGAGACTAAAGGACATGACCACCAAAGGGGACGGGTGCATGATCCTGGATTGATTTCTGGGATAACTGGTGAAATCCAGTTGTCTATAGATTAGATAATAACACGTTCTCCATGTTACTTATCTGATTTTGATCAAGTCTGTAATTTAATTTCAAACGGCTCAGGAAACCAAGAGAGAAAGGGTGCTAAAGCAAATGTAGTCAGGTGTCAGCGTGTAAGGAATCGACACATCTGGAATTCTTGCACTATCTGCGATTTTTCTGTAAATATGAAATAATTTTTAAAATCCACTCACCAGGGCGTTCTCCTGCTCTTCTAAATAAACATAAAATAGCATAGCTGCACATCTGACAATAGTGTTTTCTGCCTCACAGATTCACTCACAAAGCATTAAAAATTATTTTCCCCGTGTTCTTCCTAGAACTTTAGCCAAGTTCATGACTTTATTCCCCCGACACATAATCTTCTTTCCTTTTTCTATCAACCACAAAACTAAAAATAAAAAAATAAATCTGTGATTTCTGAAATTCTGTTCAAGACAAAGCATGAATGTCTTTCCATTTAAGGTTTCTAGAAAGCAAAAATTCTTCCAAGATTGCGGCTTTGTTGTTACATTAGTGTCCCCCACACATAAACCCAGCTAGAGGAAGGAAGGTGGCGTTCCTAAATAAGAAAAACTCATTTTCAAATCATGATACTAAAAGGAGAGAGAGAAAAAGAAGCCAATAGAGCTGTTGACCTAGCTCCAGGAACCAGGGGCTTTCGACTGGAATACGAGTTAGGGTTCCGAGCCCTTTCCCAGGCTCAGACAACTTCCAGACATTTGCCAGAACATTCCAGAAGGACCCTCTGCGAACATCAGAATAACCCTGGTGTCCTCCATTCTTGTTTTCTCCATTCTTTTCTGTCCTACCGATTTTGGCGGCTGTCACAGCAGATCTCCCCTGGGATATAATGAAATGAACCATATGAAAGTGTACACTTGCCACTCATGAGAGATGAAGTACAACGTGAAGATGAAAACCAGCGCAACCCCCTTACCTTCAAGTGGCAGTTGTGTGAAACAGGTCCACGTCTGTACCAGGCCTGGGGAGGTTGAGGCTACTCAATGCACGCAGAATATATAGGGAGAGATTATATATCCCGGGTTTTCATTACACAAGGTGGGTGTAATGGGTTCTCAGCCAAGATTCACTTAAAAACAAAAGCTACACAAAGATGACAAAAAGGCCACACAAAGTTTGAACAAAAGGCTAAAGAAAGGCCAAACAAAAGCCAAAGAAAGTTTAAACAAAGCGTGAAACAAAGACAAAACAAAGGCCAAAGAAAGAAAAAAACAAAGACAGAAACAAAGGGCAAAAGAGAATCTAAACAAAAGCTAAGTTACAACCACATTACACACACACACACACACTCACCCACAGGCACAAACCGTATCTACACTGCGTCCCCACCTTCATACATTCCAGTTTCCCACCTCACATCCCACATAATTAACACCCCAACAACCCCCTTACCAAGGCTCTCTCCACACCACCTCTACCCTACATCAAACCACATGCCGGGCCAACCACACCCCAGCAAACCACACACGGTTCTGCCGGTGCGGCACCCGCCGCAGCAACCACCCCACCCCACCCCACCATACCGCACCACATGCCACAAGCCAAACCCACAGGCCAAGAACAGAGTTGGAGTCACACCGACCAATTGCTGCCTTTGGGATCCTTTCCATACTCCACGCAAAGACCCATCCTCCCTCACGCTCCATACACACGCTCACACACGCACACGCCCAAGACCAGCCTCCACGCACACGTGCCCTCACGCAGTTTAGCAAGAGCACCTCGGTCTAGGTACAACTGAGATTAGATCTGGACAATTCTATGGCAATTACCATCTATATTCAAGTTCATGAAAACTTTGAAAAACTATCCCTTATGGTAGATGGTTTCTGTAAATCATGAATCTCATTCAATTAACATGACAATGCTGGCTCCAGTCCTAGACATGCCTTTTATCATTTCCCTAGAATTTGGGGGTCACACCATTGAGCCTTATAACTCTGGACCTGCATTAAATTTCATGGGTCCTACAACCCAGTGCTCCTGCTACATTTCATTTTATATGGGTAGAACTACATATTAATGATTTGAAAGATGAAAGCTATTTCTGAAACAAACCTAAATGGTTCTTCGTTTTTCCTTCAGTCCTCACTTTCTCAGCAAGTCTGTCTCCTCCGAACTTTGACCTTGATCGTACCGTCCCCAAGTTTGGTAAACAGAGGAATACACCGAGCTGCCAGCGGCTAGGACAAGGCCTCTCTGTCCCCAAGCTCCACACCCAGCCTCTCCGCTCTCTCCCCCCGCTATGCCTGTGCCGTCACAACTGTGTTCTGGCTGGTGGTGACCTGTAGAATAATGTATGTTATGTTCCTTATGTAAGGGACTGGATTTTATCCAACCAGCTGTGTTAAAATTCACTCTGCAGGTGACATGCTTCTCCTGTTCAACATTCTGGGCCCAATTCAGGGATTTTACCCTTTGTAATACTACTATCAGGGAAGGAAAGGGGGGACACAGGGAAGCAAGACCGCAAGGATTCCAGCAAAAAAGAGGCTCAGAACAAGAATGGATCAGTATGCTGTTAAAGAAAACCAGAGCTGAACAGGAATTAAAGTGTTAAGAACAGATTTTATTCAGGAGCTATTGCAATAGAGAGGAGACTTCAATATAACACTGACTCAATTCCAAATCCAATATGGACAAGTGGGGATTTACAGCCCAGACGCAGGCTGAGGGAGTCAGTGAATGGAAAATTGCTCAGGAAGTATCAGGGGTAAGGATGGATTTCTGGCTAAACCCACTTGACAGGATTCTTGCTGATCAGGCTGGATCCCTGGTAGAGGGCATGCAGGAGGCAACCGATTGATGTTTTGCTGTCACATGGATGTTTCTCTTTCCCTTCCTCTAAAAATTTCAAAAAATCATCTCAGCTATATTATTTCATATGCAAATTATACTACATACTGTATGTAATAGTGACCACAATGCTATTTTCACACCTAACAATTTAACAATAATTCTATAGTTGACATTAATTCATTAATAATTATTGATGTTTAATAATTAAAATTGGCATCACAGGGAAGAATGGAGCTGGTAAGTTTGTTATTGCAAAAATACAAATGGTCACAGGATTTTCTTACCTTTCAAATTCACCTTACTTTTTCTGCATATTCAGTGAATTTTAGGAAAAAAACAAGGAGCTGCTCCATTTAGAAATGTTTGGGGGTGGGTAGTATGTAAAAAGTTTCTCCTATCCCTGATTTTAAAATGTTTATGCCGTTGTGTGAATTCCCAAGCATTAGAATTCTGCAGTTTTAAGAGTATGTTCATGCTGCTCACTGAGGTGGTGGACACGTGGTCCCCCGGGGAACTGAGACTCAGGAAAAAAGTGATGCACTACTCAGATGTATTATGGAGTCTCTTTTTAAAAAAACAAACACCCGGCAACTTTTAAATAAAGACCTCTTCCTTATTTGGGCTGCTTTCCGACTCCATGAGCTTCGGATTCAGGCTTTGTATGTTCCTCCTCCCTAAAGGTGAAGGGCTGCTTCGTTGCAGAAACTTGTAAAGCAAACACAAGTTCAAGGATACAACCACCACCACCCTACTGAGGGGCCTTACTAGCCATCGCACTCAAGCGTGCTTTCAAATGAGAGACTGGCCTTCTAGTATACAGTCCATACTCTTGCATGCAAAACCCAGGGCAAATCTGTAAGCCTTTCAACACTAGTAGAGATAAATTAAAAAGAAAAGGATAGTGAGAACAAACAAAACCCTCGGGGAAAGATCCTAACTAGTGGACTTAATCACATAAGAACCGAGCCACACCTGCCAGTGCTCAATCCATTGGGTTTTGCTTCCCAGCAGTTGTCAGTTTGGCTCAAATAAACGCATCAAAGTTCTCCACAGGTTTGAACGTTTCTTATATTAACACATTATTGTTTAAAAACAGCAAGTTGAGTTTCCAAGACAAGGGCACTGAGTAAGTTTCTATTTCCTAGAAAACTTTTTCCAAGTGGAAAGAAATAAAGAGGTGGTGGGGAAAGGTGGCTCATCGGGCCAAATCAAGTCCAGTGCAGAGGGAGGGAGGGAGAGGGAATCACCCTCGCTGCTAAAACCAGTGAGGGAAGTTGCCCGTGGCAGGTTGCAGGGTAAACACCTGGAGACTGATCTATCCTAGATGTGGCAGTGCTTCTGCACCTGCCTTCAGGTAGGCACCAGGCTACTAGGCTGGGGCTGGCTCATCTGTGTGAGCTTGAGGGCACTGGCTCTGCAGCCATGAGCTACCAACTGGGTCCCAGAGTGGGATCACCTCAGGTATGGGCCAGCTTGTGGTCCTAAGTTGTGGCAGAATCTGTTAGCTGTTGACATGAGCAGGATCTAATTCTCATGGAGGCTGTGAAGAGAGTAATGCCCTGAGCAAGTTAAGCCCAGCCAGGTAAGAAGAAATTCTGTCTAGGACCACCTGGTTTCAGCTGTAGTGCGCAATAACCTTGTCAGACATCTTATCCCTAAAATTAGGTTCTATGGGGGATAAAAGCCTGTTTGGTACTACTGTGGCAATGCCAGGGGGCAAGCACAAGAGGAATGCAAGGTTTCTAGGTAGGAGATATCGGGCACTGAGACACAGGGCTAGGGATTTGAGGTATAGCACCGGGTTGGGCTGGGTAGTCCGGGAGGGCAGCTGTTGCAGGCAGGAGTTAGTCTGTGACAGGACCTTTCCTATTCCTTGTTCCCTGAACAGCCTCCTCTACCCCGAAACATGCGATGAATGAGCTTTGCAACCCTCACTCCTTACACCCAGCCTCCCTTCACTCCACCTATCCGTTTTCAGCCATCCTGATCCCAGAATCACCAAAGGTGCTGCTGACCACTTGCGTCATGGGTTTGAGCTCCAAGCACTTTGGAGCTTTGATGGACATGGCAGATGCTCCAAACTTGCTCCTACACAGCCAGTGGCAGACTTTCTACAAAGTTAATGATGCTTGAGCTGTGGGATCCCCTCACTGCCTCTGCACCACTGGAAGGGCCCTGAGAATGTAGTCACAGGGACATTTTGTAAATTTCCCAAGGGTACAATGAATCTATGTAAATCATCAAAGCTCCTCAACACCTGGATCTACCCTACTTAATTGCTCCATTCCCATTCAAGGCAATGGTTTTCACCTGGCTGAGTGGTACTGTGACATCAGTAGAGCCACATTTTTAATACAATTGACATGCACAGAAAAAGGCAAATATGGAGAGCACTATGTAATATTCCATGGAATTTTTACACACTTGTATAACCCTCCGAGGAACTACACATGCTGACCAGGTGACAGGAAATAGATGCCCAACATGGGTCTTCAATGCCAGATGTTACTCATACATTAGCCACAGAACTGGCAAATAGGAAGGCTGTCAATGAAAACCAATTAATTTTAAACTCAAGGTTCTACAGAATTTACCAATACAGATATCAGTGTAAGTCAAGAGCATCAGGACCTTGGAAAAATATTTCTAGGGTTAAGACTTATGTGCATTTATTCATAACCATTTTTGGAACACATATGATCCTTCCACAAAAAGGAAGCTCAGGAAAACTCCCATGTGAAAAGCAAACCACTTGTCAGGACACCTAAAGTAATCCCAGGCATCTAGATCTGGAATACAAAAACTGAAATAAATGGACACAAATTTTAGAAACTGTTTATTTTCCATCAACCTTATTTCCATTCTGTTAAGTTTGTGGAAGAACAGCTTAGGACCACTCAGTGGTTGTTCCTACCCATTCGGTGGCCTGAGCAGTGGGGGCTGCAGACCAGTCTTCAGTGGCAGGCTGAGCACTCCAGTCTTCTGTTAAGAAAACACCAGAAAAGCCATCAGCTCTGTTCCCATAGTATTTTTGTCACCTCCCTGCCACCAGCAATCTGCCTTGCATTCTATCAGACACACATTTCAAGGACACCAAGGCCAGATTAATCCAAATGCACCTGAATTCAACCTCTCAAGTTATTAGCAGAGATACAATATATTAGGACGAACCTTTTAATGTGGCCATGGAGATCATTCAAGTTTTATTAAAAGCAGACGTTCCAAACCACCAGCCTGACGCACTTGTATCATAATAGAGTAAACCCTCAACTCTGCAGACCTTGATTTAACGGACTTTGGATTTAATATTTAATGGACAAAATTTCCAGTCCATATGTC